AGAGAAATTAGGAAACACTCCCATTTACCACTGCAACAAAAAGAATAAAATACCTAGGAAAAAACCTGCTTAAGGAGAAAAAAGACCTCTATGCAGAAAACTATGAGACACTAAAGAAAGAAATTAAGGATGATACAAACAGATGGAAAGATATAGCATGTTCTTGGATTAGAAGAATCAACATTGTGAAAATGACTATACTACCCAAAACAATCTACAGATTCAATGCAATCCTTATCAAACTACCAATGGCATTTGTCACAGAACTAGAACAAAAAAGTTCACAATTTGTATGGAAACACAAAAGACTCTGAATAGCCAAAACAATCTTCAGAAAGAAAAACAAGCTGGAGGAATCAGGCTCCCTGACTTCAGACTATACTACAAAGCTACAGTAATCAAGACAGTATGCTACTGGCACAAAAACAGAAATATAGATCAATGGAACAGGATAGAAAGCCCAGAGATAAACCCACGCACATATGATCACCTTATCTTTGATAAAGGAGGCAAGAATATACAGTGGAGGGAAGACACCCTCTTCAATAAGTGGTGCTGGGAAAACTGGACAGCTACATGTAAAAGAATGAAATTACAATACTGGACAGCTACATGTAAAAGAATGAAATCAGAACACTCCCTAACACCATAAACAAAAATGAACTCAAAATGGATTAATGACCTTAATGTAAGGCCAGACACTATAAAACTCTTAGAAGAAAACATAGGCAGAACACTCTATGACATAAATCACAGCAAGATCCTTTTTGACTTACCTCCTGGAGTATGGAAATTGAAACAAACCAATGGGACCTAGTGAAACTTAAAAGCTTTTGCACAGCAAAAGAAACCATAAACAAGACGAAATGACAACCCTCAGAATGGGAGAAAATATTTGCAAATGAAGCAATTGACAAAGGATTAATCTCCAAAATATACAAGCAGCTCATGCAGCTCAATAACAAAAAAACAAAGAACCCAATCCAAAAATGGGCAGAAGACCTCAATAGACATTTCTACAAAGGAGACATACAGATTGCCAACAAACACATGAAAGGATGCTCAACATCACTAATCATTAGAGAAATGCAAATCAAAACTACAATGAGGTATCACCTCACACCCGTCAGAATGGCCATCATCAAAAAATCTGCAAACAATAAATGCTGGAGAGGGTGTGGAGTAAAGGGAACCCTCTTGCACTGTTCGTGGGAATGTAAATTGACACAGCCACTCTGGAGAACAGTATGGAGATTCCTTAAAAAACTAAAAGTACAACTACCATACTACCCAGCAATCCCACTACTGAGCATATACCCTGAGAAAACCATAATTCAAAAAGAGACCTGTACCACAATGTTCATTGCAGCACTATTTACAATAGCCAGGACATGGAAGCAACCTAAGTGTCCATCGACAGTTGAATGGATAAAGAAGATGTGGCACATATATACAATGGAATATTACTCAGCCATAAAAAGAAACGAAATTGAGTTATTAGTTGTGAGGTGGATGGACCTAGAATCTCTCATACAGAGTGAAGTAAGTCAGAAACAGAAAAACAAATACCGTATGCTAACACATATATATGGAATCTTAAAAAAATAAAAAGGTTCTAAGGAACCTAGGGGCAGCAGATGTAGAGAATGGACTTGAGGACATGGGGAGGGGGAAGGGTATGCTGGGACGAAGTGAGACAGTAGCACTGACATATATACACTACCAAATGTAAAATAGAGAGCTAGTGGGAAGCAGCTGGGAGCACAGGGAGATCAGCTCGGTGCTTTGTGACCACCTAGAGGGGTGGGATAGGGAGGGTGGGAGGGAGGGAGATGCAAGAGGGAGGGGATATGGGGATATATGTATACATATAGCTGATTCACTTTGTTATACAGCAGAAACTAACACGACATTGTAAAGCAATTATACTCCAATAAAGATGTTAAAAAAAGAAGGATTTTTTTTAAATATTTAGAATAAAAAAGTGTAGTGAAGTGGAAATATGCAAAATCATAATCAAGTTTAAATGCTGAATCTGGAATTGCAAGTAATGACAGTATTGAGAAAAATATTGAGTTGTGTCAGCAAACTGATTTTATTGAGCCATATTCTAAAAACAGCATTTAAAGTTTTGATAAAGATTATTTAAAAGATGGTTTAACCAAAGGTATAAAACACCCCAATAAAAATAATAGATTCCAATGTATAAATTGAATGGTAATAATTTAAATCAAAGATTAAAACATTCAAAATATAAGTTCTTTATAAACACAGCAAGCTGAAATAGTTGATAATCCCATTCAAATATCTTTTAAAAGAATAAAGATGTAAATTGCTGGTGCTAACTCTTCATATTATGTGAGTGCTAATAAAAAAACTTTATTAGTGAGAATTTCCTGGCACTCCAGTGTTTAGGACTCGACCTAACCACTGCCATGGTGGTTAGGTTAGGCCCTTTCACTGCCATGGGCCCAGGTTCAATCTCTGGTTGAGGAACTAAGATTCCACAAGCCACGTGTCACAGCCAAAAAAAAAGAAAGAAAAGAAAACCTTTATTAGCATCTTTCTATTTATATGTCATGTGGTAAAATAGCAAATAGCTCACCCAGTTTCTATGCATCCATTGCATTTATTATTTTATGATGAATCACCTACTGAACTAAAAGCTGTAAGTCCTAGTCAGTTCTGCCACATCTCAGAACTCCTGAGGGATCCACTTATCTTGGAGCCTTCCTCTAGTAAATGCTGCTCCCGTTAGCAAGAAAAACCTATATGTGAATGCTCATAACAGCTCTAATCATAATCTTCAAAACCTAGAAACAACCAAGATTGCTTCCAACAAGGGAATGGAAAAAACATGTATTGGATAAAGATACTAGAGTAGAGCTACACAATGAATACTGTTTAGCGATGAAAAAGAACAAATGCAACACACGACAATATGGATGAATCTAGAAAGCATTTTGCTCAATGAATGCAGCCAGATCCAAAAGATCTCATATTGCATGATTCCTTTTATATGACATTCTAGAAAAGGCAAAACTACAAGGGTGGGAGTAGATCAGTGGCTACCAGGATTTGGGGGAGGGGGACAGAGTTGAAGACAAAGAGCCTGTAAACAAACATTAGGGTGATGGAACAGTTCTATATGGTTCTGTGGTGCTGGCCACATGACTGTATTTCTCAAACCCATAGAACTGTATGTACACCATGGAGAACAAACTGTATTGAATGCAAAGTAAAAAATAAAGAGAGAAATGTATACCAGGATGGTGGGAAAATCCAGGATGGAATTCAGAAGGTAACAAGTGAATCTGTATTACAAACAAATGACATAACTACATTTAAGTGGATGGGGGAAAACAGGAGTGATCCTAAATTTGGACCTTCATAAACTTGGAAACAGAATTTTGACACAGAACTGTAAGGCTAATGACAAAAAGAACTGTATGTAAGTACTATCGTACTCTACTTGGTAAATGTGTTTCTCACCAAGAAACAGGTTGGCAATTCTAAACTTCTTACATGTATACTCCATGTAAGAACATGTAGTGTGACTTGTGCCTTTTTGTCACATTTTGTTACATGTGACAAAAAGTAAATCTTTGGTAGATGGTGACAGGCACGTCTCACACTGTCAGAGAAGGAAACCGTAAATAAGGGAGAAAAGGCTGAGAATAAGCCCTGTGGTGCTGATTAGACTTGGGGACACCCACGAACTCATGTTTACAGGCACACTTCGTTTTGTTGTGCTTCACAGATTCTGTGTTTTTTACAAATGGAAGGTTTGTGGCAACCCTGCCTCGAGCAAGTTTATAGGGGCCATTTTTCCAACAGCATTTGCTCACTTTGCATCTCTGTGTCACATTTTGGTAATTCTCACAATATTTCAAACTTTTTCATTATTATATTTGTAATGGTGGTCTGTGATCAGTGATCTTTAATGTTACTAGTGCAACAAGATTTCACCTTGCTGAAGACAGATTATGGTTAGCATTTTTTAGCAGTAAAGTATTTTTAAATTAAGGTATGGACATTTTTAGACATAATGCCATTGTACACTTAATAGACTACAGTTTAGTATAAACATAATTTTTATATGCACTGGGAAATCAAAAAATTTGTGTTACTCGCTTTACTGTGGTATTCACTTTTATTGCCGTGATCTGGAACCGAACCCATAATATCTCTGAGGTATCCCTTTATTTATATATATATATATATACATATATATATATATATATATATATATGTATATATATACATATGCAGAAAGTAAATACAGAAATATATGTAGATATATGGATACACACGGGTTCAAATACACCCAGATATTCCTAGCTCTGTCCGCTGGGAGGGCCTAGAAGCAGGGACATACAAGCAGCCAGAAGCATGTCTAGCTCCAAAATGTTGGTTTAAAATGCCACTCTCCAATAAAAGACATTGTGAGATCCTTGGAAAAATGGCTGATTCTAGGGTTGGAGCAGGGAAAGTACACAATAAACCCAAGCTCCTCTAAGCTCCCTAAATAACTGCAATCTTGTGTACATCACTGAACTCCTTTGGGCCACAGTCACTTCCTCTCCACCATGGAGAGTTACACTAAATGGTCAGTAAGAGCCAGTCAAATGTGGACCTTCTGTGTGTCTAAGAAAATGAAAGATCAGCTTTGCCAAATATGACGTGTCTAACCATTGAGGACAAAAACAGCAAAGAAAAACCCAGGAGAAGAGGCTTTGGAGCTGAATCATAAGAGTCAACAAGGACTTACGTGTCCTTGTCTGTTTGGAGTCAAATTTGTTCTGTGCTTGATTTTCATCACTTAAAAACTACATCTTTAAATCTTTTCTGCTTAAAATTACCAACTTTTGGAAGCCCATTTCTATGGGACATCTCTGAAGACTTTTTTTAATAAGAGAAATACTCTTATTAAAAAAGAGTATCATGTGATGTTTATCAATGTCGATAACTCAGTTGCCCATGTTTTCTCTTTTTCCAAGTGTGAGTCCAAGTTCCAGAAGCAAATACATTCCTCTCTACACGTAAGTAATGTTTCTTAATGTTTTAAAAATTACTAGATTTACATCTAAATTGTAGTTGCTTTCAGCTCACTCATGTTTGTAATTCACTTTTTGAAACAGCTTACGCTTTCTAACAGATTTCTAATGTTTTCCTAGCATGATGCCTGTCAGGAACTTCATCAAAAATGCGTTAAAGATTTTAATAAGAGAAAGAAATGGGGAGCAGTATCTTTGGTTTTCCCAAATTGGTTATTTTATGAAATAAAATACCTTGGATGCTACTAATATTGGGTGTTGTCAACAAGAAAGACTTTTACACTTGATGTGGAAGCTACAATGTGCTCACCAAAGCTAAGGGCAGGAAATGCGATCTCTTGCTTTTCTATTTAAATTTGGCTCTCCGTGGGTGGCACAGATGTGCGTCACCACCCTTTGGGGTCTTCTCTGCTTTATATTGGAGAAAAAACTTGTGTTTTAGTCAGCTTGGGCTGCTGTCACAACATAGCACAGACTGGGTAGCTTGTAAACAACAGACGTTTATTTCCCACAGTTCTGGAGACTGGAAGGTAGGGACGGCCAAGGGGTCACAGACTTGTGTCCACGTACGGTTCAGGGGCAAGGAGCTCGTGGTGTCCCTTTTATAAGAACACTAATGACCCAAGTACCTCCCACCTCCTGATACGATCACCTTTGGATGTTAGGAATTCAACGTATGAATTTTGGGGGGACATAAACACTCAGATCACAGTACCTTGGAACAAAGTAAATCCAAGAAAACAGAGGGCCTTTCATCTCTACCCTCCCCACTCATTACTCCAGCCTCTCCTGCCCCACAGTAGAATTGACTCACCTTCCTACCAGTGGCCCCAGAAGTGCCTGCGGGACACCCTCTCACTGCCGTGGACTAATCGGACCTCCTCGCAGGCCCCAAAGGCACATCACCAGTTGTCCACAATCCCAGGCACCTGCCCCGTTTCTGTCCCCACAGGAGGCCCCTCAGCTATGGTGACACCCATCTCTGCCTTGCCCCAGCTGCCTCCAAGTTCCAGGGAGGAGTTGGCTCAGGGCTGCAGAAGCAGCTGCTTCTTTGCTCAAAAACACAAACCAGCTGTTGCTCTCACTCTAAAAGAGAGAAAGTCTCCTTACTTTATTTTTTTTAAGGCAAATTGTTCCATCACCGTGGTTAATTTTTTGCATTTTGAATTTTGATCTATTTTGGCAAGATTTCCTTTGCAAGTTAGGATATGTTCATCTATTTTTTTCTATGCTTCTTTTCATCCTAACAGTGGTTGCGTGCATTCTACAAATGCTGATGACATTGACGACCCCCGTGGAGACATCACATCTCTCGCCAAGCCTCGCAACTCTGAAATTCTTTATACGAGCTCAAGTCGGTGAGTTCCACTTATGATTATTCCCCTCACTTTATTATTCAGGAGGAAACATGGTCATGGGCTTTGTAATGAATGGAGCAATTAAAAAACGGCCCTGGATAAACAACAAGGTCCTACTGTACAGCACAGGGAGCTATATTCAATCTCCCAGGATAAACCATAATGGAAAAGAATCTGAAAAAGAATGTATATGTGTATAACTGAGTCACTTTGCTGTACAGCAGAAATTAACACAACATTGTAAATCAACTTGACTTCAATAAAATTAAAAACAAAAAACAAAAAAAACAGCCTGGTGCTGCTCACAGCTTAAGAGGAAAGATACCTGAAAGATACCTGAAAGATACCTGAAAGATACCTGAAAGAAAGATACCTGAAAGGACTGTAGTTTCTCACAAAGGAGATTATAGTTTTGAGCACTGACTAACCTGGGTGCCTACATATATATGCAATATATCTTTACATGCTGTTTTATGAATATATTATATATATAATATATACAAAAAGTATGTATATATTCACTTTCACCAGTGGAACTACTGAGCCTCAGAAATTAATTCCCTAGGATTCACAGGATACACTACAGGAAGCTGACATTCTGTGTCTTTTTTTTTTTAATTTTTACTGGAGTATAATTGATTTGCAATGTTGTTAGTTTCAGGTGTACAGCAAAGTGAATCAGTTATACATACACATATATCTACTCTTTTTTAGATTCTTTTCCCATATAGGTCATTACAGAGTATTGAATAGAGTTCCCTGTGCTATACAGCAGGTTCTTATTAGTTATCTATTTTATACATAGTAGTGTGTATATGTCAATCCCAATCTCCCAATTTATCCCTCCCCCCCTTACCCCCTGGTAACCATAAGTTTGTTTTCTATGTCTGTGGGTCTATTTCTGTTTTGTAAATAAGTTCATTTCTACCCTTTTTCTGGATTCCACATATAAGTGATATCATATGATATGTCTTTGTCTGTCTGACTTACTTCACTTAGTATGATAATCTCTAGGTCCATCCACGTTGCTGCAAAGGGCATTATTTCATTCCTTTTTATGGTTGAGTAATATTCCCTGGTATATACGTACCACATCTTCTTCATTACGCCACTGAGCTGCTACACTTCATGGCTGTTACCCCATCAGTTTCTGTGGTGACTGAAAACCTTGCAGGAGGTGTCCTGCAAGCCTATGGTGTGAATCACGACAGTATTTTAAATGTTAGCTGCTTTCTATTTTTTTTTAAACATCAGTTGTGTCTATGAGACGAAATAGCTAAATTTCACATTGGCTGTCCTTCAGACCTATTCTACACCCTATAATAATTTTGAATTTTCCTGTGTTATATATTCTGACTCTAATTCTTTTGACTAGTTGGCCAAAGTAAAATATGTTTCAAAACTAACTTTTGTTTTAAAATATATTTCTGTAACTTATTGCATTGAAGAATTACATGAGTTGATCTATTTCAACCAAAAACAAAAAAGAAAGAAAAAAGAGGAGAGAATACATAACATATTCCATGTACTGTGACAAAGACTTAGCCCTCACGTAGCTTGCAAACCTGCGGGGCCGGTGAGCTCTGCTCACCAACAATGATAATATAGAGCAGCATGGAGTGAGTCTCCTGAGCAGTGAGCTTAGTGCTTTTGATCTCAGTTGTACAGAGAGGTCACTTTCACCCACGAGACTTGAAGGCTGTGATGTTTTAGCTGAGTCCTGAGGAAGGGTTCGTTGGTTATGATTCTTCCATAATTTCTGCAAGGAAATTATTGCTATTAAACGTGGCAATTCTTAAAAGTTTTCAAGAAAGAATATGAGGATAAACCCAACTGAAAATATCCTACTGGCAGAAAATTTTATTTCTCCTTTGCAATGTACATCTGAATTTTGGAATGTTTTATGAAACATTCTTGCTAAAGAATAAAATATATTCTTCTGGGTCATTCTTCAAGGATAGTAAAGAGCAGTCTGGAAGCATTTTAAAAATTTGATGTAGAACATACCATTTAACTTGAGTAAATTTGGGAGCATGCCATTCTACCACATCTTGCTGTTAATTAGTGTTTTTAAGGGAAGGAAATTGAATGGATTATGTAAAAGAATTGGACATTAACTGTACTTCCCCAAATTGGCCACTAGAGAGCCTCCGAGGTTGCAAAGTTTCTTCTTTGGATGAGGTTTCATTTTTTAACAGAATCTTAAACTTTTAACACAAAGAAAGGTTTTCCATTTTTATTATGAGGTATTGATACAAAATGTATAGTGTCATATGTAAAATATAAAGCAAAATAACAAGGAAATGACTGTGCATCCCGGGCCTAGCTAAGGACATAGTGTTGTATCTTTTAAGCCACCTGTATATTCCTCCCAACCTCATCTCCTCGGTCTCCTTCCCCAACCCAGAAGTCATCACATCAGACTTCGTGCTTATCCTTTGCTTGCTTTGCTTGATAGTTTGGTTACATATACTTGAATCTCTAAACAAAATATTATGTCCTTTCCACAGTACCACACTGAGCAAAGTATAGAAGAATGTATACAACATGACATCATTTGCATAAGGTCCAAAACCCAGAAACACGTCAACTTACTTTGTGCCCAGTAGAGTACCAACCTATTCAAAAGCAAATACGACTCTTCCTTTGTTTCCTCATCTTAAACTTTCGTAAAGGGAAATATGTTTATGAGATCATCTTTAAGGTTCTCATAACCCATGACAATTAGGACAGGAGCTGTACTTGCCCCGACTCCTTCAGTGGAAGCCGCATTGCAGACAGAGTCAAGGCTACTGCCTCTTGGGTTCAGGTGGTTGGAATCACCAATTTCCCCAAAGGGTAAACGTTTTCCAATTTTCCTCATTCGTTGATTTTGTATTCTGGCCACCATCTCATTTGACATGCCCAATGTATTGGTGGTGATTATACTAATTTTTTGTTTTTTTTTTTTTGCGGTACGCGGGCTTCTCACTGCTGTGGCCTCTCCCGTTGTGGAGCACAGGCTCTGGACGCGCAGGCCCAGCGGCCATGGCTCACGGGCCCAGCCGCTCCGCGGCATGTGGGATCCTCCCAGACCGGGACACGAACCCGTGTCCCCTGCATCGGCAGGCGGACTCTCAACCGCTGCGCCACCAGGGAAGCCCTATACTAATATTTTTAAAAATGACTTTTAAAATTGTAGAACTGAATCTGATCATTATAGAAAAAAGTACAGGAAAAATTAATAACAATAAAAATATAACTAAACTTTTACGCAGAAACATAGGCATTATTAATATTTTGACATATTTCCATCCTGAATCTTGTATCTGTATATTTATATAGCTATGATCATACTACATATATAATTTTTACTACCTTAACATTGCAACATCATCATGGGTACATGTTATTATGAACTCATCATGAGTTTTTATTGGTGTAGATGTACTGTCATTGACTAGTTCACTTAGGTTACATATATAAATTCTTTCCATTTTTTGCTTTGATAAATAATACTGTCAAACACTCTTTAAGTGAATCTTCTTCTAATTTGGAGTGATTTACTTAAAGGAGACTCCTTGAAATGGATTATGAGGTCAAAATATATAAACATTCTTGAGCAAGTTACAAAATCCTTTCCTGGAAGTATTATAAAAATTTACAGTGGAACCAGAGTTTATGTCCAATGTGTATGCACACACACCTTCAATGCTAGCCTTAAAGCTCACCAAATAGCATATTCTTTTCCTTCCAAATGTGTTTATTATAAAAACAATTCAAATACGTTTGTCAAAAGTGGAATACCTCTTTCATTTTCAGGGCCAGTATTGAAAAGTGATACATGTTTTAGACTTTACTGCCAAACGTGCATGAATTTCTGCCTGTAGGTAGCTGCATGTTGCTGTGTGTGCCTGTGAGTGTGGGGCAGTGTTGGGTTGACAGGTGCAATGGACATTTTCCCAGGCTCTATGCAGAGCTATGAAAATCTTTTTTAATGGCTGCGTGATATTCCACTACAAGCTATATCATAGTTTACATAGGCCAAGTAGTTACTAAAATCTTTCCTATTGTTAAAAAAATACAGCAGTAAACATCCTCCACATATATCTTTGCACAGTTTTATGCATCCATTTCTGTAGAACAAATCCTTAAAAGCAGAATTGTTGCACGAGTTTTCTCATTAAAATTAATAAAATATTTTCTGATTTTGTAATGATGAGCCAGTTATTAAAAGATATTTAATTAAAGAACTCAAGATATTAATTCAGTTTCCACTGAGCTTCCTAACTTCTAACTTGGGCCTAGTTTAGGAACTAGAATCCACAATATCCATTGGCTTCAACAGTTCTTGAAGCTCAGGCACTGAGAAGGAATTACAAAAAAAAAAAAAAAAAAAAAAAAAGGTAAAAGGTCAATCCTCACTTATAATCTGTGTCAAGCAAACAAGGTAAGACTAACGTAAGGGACACCCCCCCATTTTTTTCCCAGTCTGTTTTTTCATCCTACTCTTAAATACTAGAGCCATATTCTTTGCAAGAGCTTATTATAAAATGAGATGGAAGAGAAGTTTGTTTTCAGTTAGTAATTATTTTGTGGCCCACATTGTTTCAAAATGCCTAGCATTCAGGAGTCATCAGTGCGAAGTGCCTGACTATAGAATGATGTGTAACAGCAGATCTGTGCAGACTCGGGATCCAAAAGCATGGAACCTTGCCCTTTCCTAAGAAAAGGGAGAGTGTTTTTCTTTTGCCATGGACCACATGGGCTCTCATGTATGTGCATCTCAGCTGGTCCAGCCCCTCCCTTTACCAACGAGGAGGACGCTGGGGCTTGAGCAGGAGAGAGGCATGTCCAGGTGACAGAGCAGAGGCTGCGTCCTCCGACCCCATACCCGGTGCTTTCCAGACACTGTTTGCCGTTTGGTTTCCCAAACCAGCCTGGCGCCTCCACCGTGCTGTCTTCCACTAAATCATAATCTTTTATTTCAGGACTTCACCCAGTTTCATATTCACTGTGCCTTTACCTCTGTCATCTCTCTGATGAAGCATTTGCAGATAATGAGTAATTGTCCAAAGTGACCTCCAGGCACCCCTGGGCCAAGGCCTGAGATGGAAGAAGGGGCCGCCCTGCCCGTCCCGGGTGCGCTGCACCTTTAACAAAATCTGACCACAAGGCAGGTTCAAGACGGGCTATGAATAGCAGTTCCTTACACTAGCCCACACTTCTGCCTTTTCTGAGAACTTTCACATCGACTCTCTCATTTGTTTTTCAAAGCAGTGTGATGAAGCCAGAGGTGCGGGAATAGGTTCTCTCCCCACTTTACAGATGGGGAGGTTGAAGCAGAGTAAATTATGTAAGAGCCCCAGGTACTCATTCCATGAGCGGTTAGGAGAACAGCCCCTCAGTCCCCAGGGCAGCCTCTGGCCAGTGAGCGCTTCCTGAGCGTCAGCCCTGCTCTGATGGGGCTGTCGGCTCCTTTCTGTGTCCCCTCCCAGATACAAGAGGTGAAGCTTCCCTGAGAACAGAGGGAGAAAAACATCCTCTAGAGCATGATGATGGTAGGAGTGAAACTAATTCCTGAGCAGATCCTGGGGATCTTACCACATCTTACCACATTCAGGGAGGCACACACCCCAGTGGCCAAGATGACTCTGGTCTTATTCAGATTTTCTCACAGAACGGTCAGCAACACCAGTCACAGTTCCCAGGCCCTCCTTCCCCTCAGCCTTCCCAGGCCTGCCTGCCTCCCTGTCCACACGTGCACTAGGCCAGCACTTGGCCCAGCTAACCCGGCCCCCTGCCCCCTGCAAGGGAGCTGCACATCCCCCCACCCCTGACTTGGGCAGAGGTGGCTCAGAAAGCTCCCATCCCGTGTCCAGGATCACAGGGCTGGCGGGGGCAGCCCTGAAGGCCGATGCCAGCCCTCGGACACCCTGAGCCCGCGCCTTCCTCTGTCCCTCTCACACCCTCCGGCTCTTACTGTGCGTCAATGATCTTTGCCCCACTTGGGTTCTGTAAACCTCTAGTCGTGCATTTAACAACTTTACTGCTTAACGTGAAAGCTGTCAGGCGTCAGATCTGTTTGAGTTCTTCTCGATCTGTACTTGACACAGCATAGCTCTCGATGAATGAGGGCCCAAGTGGCTTGAACGTGCACTACACCCACACCCTGAACAATGCCGACCACCCTGACCCAGCACAGCTCTCCCAGCGCGGCTGGCAGTCTGGGTGTCAGGGCCTTCTGGGTCGGGTCAGTCCCGCCACCTGCCAGCTCAGTTGTCTCTGGGCACCTGACTTAGACTTTTTCTGAGGCCCCAGTGCCTGCATCTATGAAATGGGCATGATACCAGGACCAGCGACCCAGAATGTTGGGAGATTAAACCAGTCAACTCACGTTAAGTGTCATAAAGGGCGCACACTCAGTGAGGATTCGTCAGGCCTGTGGTACAGAGAGAGAATGTGTGTGCACTGGAATTCTAATCCACATATGCATGACCTATAGCCTACATGTAACATGGTTTTCTCCATGTTTTCTTTATGTTCTATTTAGCTTTTCATTACACACCATCTGGGCTCCCTCCTTCTAACTGATTTACCGAAGTTCCTTATATTTCTCAAGTTATTTAATTTCTGTTTTATTATGCTTTGCTGAGCAAAACCAATTAGCTGTAAACTTAGGCAACAATTTATTCAAATTTACCCATTAGTGAACCAACTCTAGGCTTATTGTGGGAACTGGGCAACAAAGAAGGTGTCCAAGAGACTATGGAGCAAAGGCAAACATGAAGGCTTCGCTTATCTTTAAACGGTTTCCTGTTTCTCTCTCTTTCCTTAAATGGGGGAGTGGGTTTGAACGTACAACTGCTCTGGAAATTCTCTTAGAGCCTGTACATTTCCGTGTCTCTAATATCTTTGTTTCTTCCATCTGAAAAACCGTGTCACCCATCAGCCGCAGGTCTGCAGAGTGTCCCCCAGAGACTATTCTCCTCTTGATTTAAGGTCAACATGTTGCACTTAAGACGGAAAAAAGTACCCCTGTGATGTCCCTGCCGAAGGGTTAAATGGAATAGATTTTAGAAGCAGCGTGGGTGAGGACTTTCGTTTTCAAATATGTGGCAGTTTATTATGCAACTGAATTCATTTCTCAGGCCTAAGCAGTTTATCTTTAATTCAGTCCAAAAGTGCATGGGTGTTATTTTTAGATATGATGTAATATAATATCATTGTTATAACGTAATGTATAATACCGTTTAACATCAATAACCTGTATGCCACAAGGCACATATAGTGGGGTGATGTTTTATATCAAGCCCTTCTTGTGATTGACACATCACTTGCTTCCACCTTTGACTTCTTAACTGCTCTGATGGAAGGTTGTGACTTCAGAGGCATTTTCATTCTGCAGGTGTTTTAGAGGCAGTGGAAAAAACCTCTCACGCAGAGGAAGGGGATTTCCTTTGTAACATGCATGGAAGCTTTAATGAATGTTTGGGGAGAGACACAACACATGAATGATTTTGCCCCATTTTTTGTTACCTCTGTGACATACAGCTGCAATTCTTTAAGAAAATTCCAAGAAACCCTGAAAGGCCCTGCCTAGAATTGGACAGCAGTGGTTTACTCACCCAGGTCCCTGCAACAAGCCTGAAACAGAGACTTCCAAACCTGGCTGCCCACGGGAGTTATCTGGAGAGATTAAAAACTCCAATTCCCAGGTTACATGGCTTGCCAATTAAATCAGAATGTCTGGGGGTAGGAGTAAGGCATCAGTACCTTTTAAAAATCCCCGTGAGTTGTCAGGGCGCAGCAGCGTTTGGAAACCGCTGTCTTCACCTCTCTCAAGCTGCCTGTCCTGGACGAACTGCATTCTTCGCCTGCCAGCCTCCTATTTTGTACAGTTCTTATTTCTTTAAAATCTTATATGCTCAATTAATTGAGCACCTACTAAGTGCTAAAGACTTGCCAGTTGCTTTCACCTTCACTGAATCCCTTTGACCCCCAGGGCCCTGGGAAGCCACGTGCACCCTCGGGCTGCAGCTGGCCGAGACAAGGGCAGGGCAGGCCTGGCTTCCTGATTTTCCTGGCCTCACAAGATCCATTAACTTGCACTGCTTACTCTGCTGTTGCCCTTGATGTGCTTGCCCTTCACTTTGTCTGCATCGGGGTCCCCTGCTTTATTGCCTGCAAGCCAGCAAGTCGTAGACTGATGCGCTTGGAAGAGACACAGGACTTTATTGGTGCAATTCCTACCTGATATGTCATTTCCCGTATCGTGCTGATGCCAGGGGCACATCATCCATGCCCAGAAGGACACCAGAGGACCTGCCTGCCCTCAGACACAAGTGGAATCTGGCCTCCCTCCTGCCCATGCTCTTGAGCTTGGTACTGTCACCCCTCTCGCAGCTGAGGCCCAGATCTGAGCCCCCGCCCCTGAGCCCGCCCCGTTCATTGTCCCGCCCTCCACTGTCTGCCTGTCCCTGACTCTGTACGCAGCACCCTCCCTTAAGCTCCGTACTTTGAAAATTCCTCCTGCGGTCAGTGCTGCTTGGAGGTTTCCTTGGCTTATTGGATGTGTGGAAAGCACGGGACAAAACCAGGAGACCCTCAGAGGAGCAGTCCCTCTGCCTTCCATGGGGGCTCGGTCCTCGCTGCTCTTAGCCTTGCGTCTGGGCCTCCATCGAGGATAAGGACCCTTGCCAGAGGGATGTCCCGCTCCCGAGGAGGGGCCCTGGAGTGGCCGGGGCAAGCTGAGCCCTGGCGCTCTCCTTGCCATGGCAGCAAGAGGACCCTGAGAGGCGAACTTCACAGAGATGGGTGTTATTGGAGGGAGCCTTGTGATTTGCAGAGAGCGTGTGCTTGCTCTTTGAAAATAGTCTCAACCTCACATGTCTCCTCGCACCTGAGAGCGAGGCTGCATGTCTTAAGCGGCACCTCTTCCTCAGGAAATAATCCATAGAAAGTGTTTTATATGCTGTAAAAATGGCAAAAACAGTACTTATTATTCACACTTCTCTGAATTACCCATGAAAATATTTCTTTTGGATGTTTGCTTGCCTATCTAGAGAGGGATTATATGCCCACACTGAAAAACACTGCCAGACCTTCTTGTGTTTTTCTTTTACTCTCCCTCTCTGGAGGGGAAAAGGACCAGGGAAGCAGAGGAGTAAGTGGAATTGAGTTAAATTTGTGCAGTTTCAAGAAATTATATGAAATCAGTACTTTAACGGTGGCAAGAAATAAATATTATTTAAAAATCACAGTTGTGGGCTTCCCTGGTGGCGCATTGGTTGAGAGTCCGCCTGCCGATGCAGGGGACGCGGGTTCGTGCCCCGGTCCGGGAAGATCCCACATACCGCAGAGCGGCTGGGCCCTGTGAGCCACGGCCGCTGAGCCTACGCGTCCAGAGCCTGTGCTCCGCAACGGGAGAGGCCACAACAGTGAGATGCCCACGCATTGCAAAAAAAAAAAAAAAATCACAGTTGTTACTGATATTGGAGTTGGTGTCACAGAGCTCCATGTGGGACCAGGTCCACTCTTTGGTAAGGAAAACCTGTCTGCCTTCATTAGAAAACAGAGCTCAACTGTGAATCATGTATGTAAAACACATGCAAATTGAAACAGTAGAAAAACATGGACCTGAAGTAAGTTTCTTTAGTCCTAGAGCAGGGCTGTCATCTGCACATCTCTGGCCCTTGCCTGCACGCTTTCCTTTCTGGCAGCCAGATTTCCAGACCTGATGTGGGACAAAACCTTTAGACTGCGTCCTCCTTTGTGTTTTCATAGTTCGGTGCTGGTGACCATGACAATTTCACAGATTGTTATTTCCCTTTCCTTTCTTGCCTTCTTTCCTTTAGCTCTGCAAATATTCCAGGATACACTGGTAAGGTTCATTTCACAGCCACCCATCCAGCAAATTCTCATCATCCATCAACGACCCCCTCGCCAGATTCAGGAGTGCACCAGTAAGTATGAGTCCTATTACTCAGCGCGCTCAGATACGCGGTGGGGAGGTGTCCTAATGATGATTAGCCCATTAAAGAGCCATTCAGTACTAAGAGTAAATTTACGTTGTTTAAAAAATAGGGTGTCGAGTCCAAAAAGACAGAAGAGTCCATTCCCCACTGTTGCTGCTCAAAGGAGCATATTAAGATATTTAATGCATCTTAGGTAGACAGCATCTTTGCCTCTTGGGCTCAGCTCTGCATACACATCACCCTTCTGCATTATCCTCAGAACATGCATGGAACACACTGCACGGGACATGTATTCACTTCTTGTGAATAGCCACCTTACTTTTCACGAAAGACAACATTCGGTTGAAAGCCATATATATTTTTAAACACTGTTTTGCAAATTGAAAACAGGAGACATCTGATGGGAGTTTAGTGCAGACCCTGTGTGTTGAAGCTGCCAGTGAGAAGCAATGCATTATTGCTCATTACACCTCAAATGTGAAAGCATCTTATGGACGTCCTGGCCTTGCAAATAAGATAACACAGCTCTGAAGATGCAAATGCGGGGTCCAGGGTCCGGCCCTGTGCCAGTAAATAAGCTCTCGTGGTGGGTCGGTGGGTGTGCATCCAGGAGGGGGACCGATGCAGCCCCCCGCCTCCATTCGTGCCTTTTCTCCTTTTTGGTGGAGAATCCACTCATTCCTGAAACATTCTTTGAGCACCCACCCTGGGCCAGGCACTACTGAAGGCTCTGTGCTCACCGGGTTGAGCGGGAAAGCTCCAGGCTCTCAGGAACCTACGTTCTGGTGTGAAAGACAGAAGCAAAGAGGCATACAAGTATCTGAAGACGTGAATTAAAACGACTTTGGACAGAGACACATGCTGTGCAGAAGAAAAGGCAGGGTGATGTTGGAGAGAGAGCCTGGGCAGGGACCCAGGAAGCTGGGCGGTCAGGGAGGCTGGTGGGTGCTGACCTGCAGGCAGAGCCCGAGCTCCTGCCCTGATAGGCTTCCTGATCATCCCGAGAGGCAGGATATGGCGGGGCCTCGTGGACCTCGGCCCGCGGTTCATACATCAGTTCACTAGTCATACACTCGTGTGCGTGTGGTTCATTCAACAAATGTTGTGTCAACAAATGTTTGCGGTGCCAGGAATTCACAAGAGCTAGACCCAGTTTGCAAGGAGCTCCCAGTCTAGCGGTGAGCGAGGGATAAACAGTTACCCTGGAGGATGCCCGGTGTCTTCATAGTGACGGTCACTTAACAGCTGAGGGCTTCTGGGATGCTGCCCTGTAAGGACTGACTGGTCTTATCAACCCTGTGACCCTGTGAGGAAGGTCTCTTGTCTTCCCACTTGACAGGTAAGGAAACCGAGGCTCCAGGCCAGCAGGGCATCTGTGTGGGTGCAGCGAAGACTTCACGGAGGGAGGAGGTGGTCCACGCCGTGATTCTCAGGGCAGTGGGCTTCATCTCACAGATACTCAAGGGCAGGCCTCTGCCTGCCCCAGGCAGCCCTCATCGCGCAGCCGTGGGGTCTTAGGGAGGCAGCTGTCAGGCCACCACCCGCCGCCGTGTGAACTGTGTGTAAGAGAGCCGCGTGGTAAGGACAGTGACCGCAGGGCGACAGGGCGCGTCGTCAACTGAGCTTAGCTCGGACAGTTTGACAACTGGCCGGCATCTCTGGGCCACCCGGTGGGAAACATTTTAAAGAAGGTCATTGGCTTTCTAGGCTGGTGTTTTGCATTCAGTCCGTTTTCTCTCAAGACACATTGTCAAAAGTCATACAAATTCCAAAGGAAGGGCTGGTAGAAATTTAGACACAGTGTTTTACTTCCTCTGAAGGACCTAAAGAAACAATGTGAAAATTAAATGCATCCTGATATCTGTCATTTAGACTTATTGCCCAGAAAAGCTAGGGTAACGCCCTGCGTCTGGGCAGTTCACAATCGAGGAGACACCAAACTCGAGGACAATTACTCTGGCAAATGCAGCCGGTCCTCACCCGTCGCCGTTTCTGTCCACAGCCCATCTTCTCACCCCAAATCTCTCAGACCTCGTCCCCTTGTTGTCTGGCGTGTTTCTGCAGCCACGTGAGCTAGGGGTCCAAAGTCCCTAATATATTTCAGAGGAATCTTTATTCCTGCGTGGGAAACTAGCCTCCACCGTTACTACTCCTGTTCCCACTGTGATCACTGTTGCTACTTGAGAAAAGAGCCTGAGTCTTTAGGCCATTTGTGGTAATGGCCACAGCAGCAGATTCAGGCTGGTTGCTGACCCCTGGCAGGCCCGCACTCACCCCACACATACTGCACACACAGCTGTCACCTGCCGTCCCAGAGTGGGGCCCAAGGACCCATGGAGCTGTATTCTCTGGGCCTCTCATTCTCAGGGTGCACACCGGCTCTGGAAACACAGTGTCACCCACTATGTGATACGAAATGACAGACTCGTGTTGGGCTGGGAGCCCAGATCACCCCTGCGTCCCCCCAAACAAGGGCTCCTGACGTGGCAGCGGGGCTCTGCGGTGAGAAAGCACAGGGGGACGCATAGGTTTTTTTTTTTTTTTTTTTTTTTTTTTTTCGGTTTGGGGGCCCCTCACTGCTGTGGCCTCTGCCATTGTGGAGCACAGGCTCTGGATGCGCAGGCTCAGCAGCCATGGCTCACGGGCCCAGCCGCTCCGCGGCATGTGGAACCTTCCTGGACCGGGGCACGAACCCGTGTCTTCTGCATCGGCAGGGCGACCCTTAACCCTCACCCCCACCGGGATCGGCAGGCGGACTCTCAACCACTGCGCCACCAGGGAAGCCCTGCATAGGTTTTTAAAAGCACTCTGCTGACACAGGCCAGCGGCCTGCAGCAGGGCGGCCAGTGGTCTGCACCTGTCCTGGCCCCTGAGATCAGAAAAAGCCCGGTCTTTGAGGCTCTCCACGGTGGAGCAATGCCTCTGATCTTTTGTGACACTACACTTAATGTGTTTTTGTTGTTTTCTCTTCGGTAAAAGCTTCCAGCGGCCGTGAGAGTCTGAGTCTCTGTCTGTTGAGTATCATGAGCCCTGAGTGAGCTGACAGCCTCCAGGCGCTCTTTGTTTCTCCCGCCGTTCCGGAGAAGCCGCCTGCCCAGGGCCTGCCCTGGCGGCTCCCCCTCGCGTCTCTCCTTCCATGGAAAGCTGGCTCCGCCCCGTGGTGGCAGCAGCCCTCCACCTTCCCCCGCAGAGGGCCGCCCTGCTGCTCCCCAGGTCCCCTGCCTACCTGCTCCGGTGGACCGCCACCCCTGTGTCCTCCCCCGACTTCAGAATCGCTACTCCCACCACTACTCCTGTTTCCTTTCCTCCCGGAAAGACAAGCTCCCACTTGCCTCAAAGGTTCTTCCTTCCCTGTGAGTTCCAGCTCCCCTTCAGCCCTGTTCTCTCGCTGCTGGCTGGCCAGGCCCAGGGCCTCCCTGCATCAGACCTTCCCCTCGAGCAGCCAGCCTGCCCTCCCTCGCAGCTCCACGCGCCCCCAGCCCTCTCCCTCCTCCGGCTCACGGCTCTCCTCTCGCAGTGACGTGAAGAGCTCCCACAGGACAACCGGGGGCCCCTCTTCCCGCCCAGGACAAGAACGGCGGACTTGTGGCGGAGTCTGTGGTCGATGGGCCGCAGTGGTGGTTGAGTGGGGTTGAGTAGCTTAGGCCTTGAATGTCAATGCCAAGGGAGGGAGGGCCGTGCGGTCCCCATAACACATGCTGAGGGTGGTGTGCAGGACACCAGCCGTGCCCTAGGATGGGTACTGCTGAGAGGAGATGCAAAGGAGCAGGGAAGGGATTATGGGACAGGGGTTCAAGGCGGGGAGACGGGGGTGCAGGAGATGAGTCAGAGGGATGCTGTGAGTCTCCAGGTCTGAAGGTAGGGCGTCCGCTCCTGTTTCCATCACAGCTGTGTTTCCTGTGCATCCCTCACACCAGAATTCAACCTTCACAGAAGCAGGAGTTCTCATTTCAACAGCCTTTTTTCACAACATCAGAAAAAAATATTGTTACTTCATGATAATCACAGTGTAAAAGCAGGGTGCTTGAGATTCATTTGCCGTGTCCTCTATAACTTCTGCCACATACGAGCATCGCGGTGTGTGTGTGATTCAAGTAGCAGCAAATTCATGGGAGAATTGCTACAGCTGTGTGCAATTGTTCAAGAGAGATGGCATGACCCAGGTCCACGCTGAGGTGGACACCTCTGGACACAAAAGGTGTTTGGAAAGCATCATTTACATACATAGTATTCTACATTTTCACGGTTACTTCCTTTCTTTTAATTCTCACCAGAAACTTTGTAGGGCATCATTTCCATTGGAGAGATGAGCAGACTAAGGTGTGGGTTGAGAGCATCATGAGGGAGCCACCAGGTTACTCCACCTGCAGGGTGAAGCCAGCTCTCAGCCCTGCACGTGGCCCCTCCCACCTCTGCCCTTGTCTCCCTCTCCCCCTCCCAGCCCTGCCCGCATGCCCCATGCCCTCCCACCTTCCTGTCTCCCTGAACTCTGACCTTTGCACCAGCTGGCCTTTACCGTGACCCTCCTGATTCCTCCCTGACATAGACACTGGGTGGATGTCCTTCCCCAACCCAGAAAAGTGACCTTGCCTCTGGGTGCCCTCACACCCTGAGCCCACCCCCACAGAGGCTTTGTGTGGTAGCCCTGGGTTATTCAGCTGTCTCTCCGCAGCCTCACCTCCTTTTGTCTGTATTTTCTGTTTTCTTAGCACCTACTGTAATTCTAGGCACAAAGTAGATTTTCAACCAATGAAACTGATGGCAATAGAATGCATAGAATGCAATCAATGAACTGAATGCAAATAAATGAAATAAAGGAAACAATACACACAAGGACTAACCATTTTCTTTCCGTTCTGTGCTTCTCCTCTCTCTCTCCCCTCCCCACCCCCCGCCCTGATGTGTGTATCATTAGTTGGAGGATAGATGAGGCTATATGCTTTTATTTTATTGTATGTGTCTTTTTTCCCCTCCATTCTGTTACAGCATCTTACAGAGAGAAATGGCAGTTGACCTCTTCCGTCACCAGGGGCCACTGTCTAGAATGGTCACAACTGTGAAACCCTACAACCCCTTCAATAAGAAGGAAAAGGAAACTGTAGGCTACTGAAAGGGACCTGCCCTGAGTGACACCAGAGCCTTGGGGAAGCGCCATGCACAGTACAATGGGGAAATAAAAGAAATCAAATAAAGCATGTTCCCAGTGTGTCTGTACAAGCTGGACAAGGTTTGGTGGTGCCACCATTCCAGGATGGCAGCCAAGGTCTTCTGGAAGCCCCCAGCAGCAGAGGTGTTATTTTAGAATATTCTTCTTTAGAGTTTGAATGCCAGGCTACCTAGAGGTCTGGGGTTCATGTGGGGAATTCTAACTGTGGAGCCTAGATCACAGATTCTATGATCACAGATTATCCAGTCCAAGGCCTGTATGCTGTCAAGAAAACTGAATATGAAGAGAGAGAGGGGCATTCTTTTCACACAGAGTGTATCGCATGGGGACAGCGCCTGTGACACAGAAGCCAGAAGCTGGCCTTCGCCTGGCCCCACTGTTTCTCTTCCCGACAAGAGCACCCCAGTCTCCATGAGGGTCTGAGGCAGGAGTGCCCACACATAACCACATTAGGGTCAGCGTGTGGCCTGGCTGGGCCATAACCAAGTGGAGCTCCAGCTCCAGAACCTCTCAGGCATGGATGCGGGCTGTGTGGGGTCCCTCCGTCCTCCCACACGTGGTTATATTTGTATCCACACATCTGTAGATCCCGTTAGCTTGCATAAAACTTAGCACTTTTTTTTTTTTGGTGATACAAGGGCCTCTCACTGTTGTGGCCTCTCCCATTGCAGAGCACAGGCTCCAGACACACAGGCTCAGCGGCCATGGCTCATGGGCCCAGCCACTCCATGGCACGTGGAATCCTCCCGGACTGGGGCACGAACACGTGTCCCCTGCATTGGCAGGCGGACTCTCAACCACTGCGCCACCAGGGAAGTCCAACCTTAGCACATTTGATCCACAACCCCACAGCAGGCATTTTTCAAATCTCTTGCTATTTTATGAATAAGCAGACTGAGACTAGGAGAAGGGAAATACTGATCGAAGATCACACGCTCATAATTAGCAGAATTAGAACTAGAATCCAGGCTTTCCGGATTTAGAACCTTGGCCACTCCATTTCTCGGTACACCGAGTAACCTCCCCTGAGTTATTAAAAAACAAACAAACAGGGACAGAATGACTTCTCCTTCTCCCAAGAGATTCAGAATGAGATAGGGATCCCACAGAACTCCAAAGAGATGTGTAAATAATCTGGGGTATTTTGGCCCTGCTTTCCCATCGGAAGGGCAGAATCACCTGTTTTGGCTTGGGAATCATCTGTTGCCTGAGCTGACACATCTACAGACCTAGACGCTGACTGCAGACCCTCCCTACACACTGCCTTTCTGCCAGGATGCACAGGAAGGCAGGCGTCCACCCTCCATCCATCCTGCGGAGCTGACTTGCCTTCACAGAAAAGGAATGGCTTCACCTGAACCCGATCGTGCAGTGTAATTATTTTCAGAAAGAGCAGTTCTATCAAAAAATCGGACTAAAACAAAAATCTTCGTCTCTGCAAGATTCTCACCCAAACACAGATGGGAAGGATGAGCCCTGTCCAGGGGGTAGATGAATTCAGGGACCTGAGATCACATTTTGCGGTAAATATCCCCGGCAGGTCACTTTGTCAGGAGGAGTTGTTGCTCCAAATCCGAGGCACCTGTTTATCATTCTGGGCCTTTCTATGGCAGGGCACAAGCAGCACCCGATCCTAACACCCTGCAGCCTGTGATAACTGTTTCCATCCTCCACGGTGCAGATCCCTGGGCACCCATCAGAGAACTGAGCACCTCCAAAGCTGCTTCTAGAAGGATGCTGGCTTTGTCCGCAGCATCCCTGGACCACATCCAGAAAAGAGATGGCAGCTCTTCATTTTCACAACAACTGGCTCAGACTTTTCACCTGTGAAGCTCAAATGCAAACCCTGCTCACCACAGATCCAGAGTCCAAGGCCAACATAGCAACACCAGTGTCCCTGGCCCTTACCTCCAAGTGCAAGTTGTATGACTTGGGTTTCCATGGTCAGCAGTTCAACTAAAAACCATAAAAATCAAGGAAGATGGCTTCAGGGATTTGCATCTGCTCTTCAGGTTCTGAATTCTGGTCTTGGATTACTCTAACGCTTGCCTGCCGCTGCTGTCCCCAAGCCCAGTCCTCCTTACAGTGTTACTGCCTCAGCTTTCATTTATCACCAGGGATGACACAGACATAGAGAACCTCTGCAGCTTTTGTAAAGCATAGGTGAAAGAGAGTGTCGGAAATTATTAAAGAGTTCACTTGGAAGAGAAAATGCACACGAATGAGCTTATTCTAGCAAATAAATATATTGCAATGTAATATTGTAAAAACATTACACAAGTGTAACATGATGAAAAATATGACACTCATGGGAGAGCAGAAGAGAGAATCTAGAAATCGACAGATAAAGAAATCATTTTAAACCCCTGAGCCCAGGACAGATTTTTTTCAGTAGATGATATAGTGACAACTATTTGGAAACAAAACAGAAAGGAAGATCCAGGTCTCACCCATAGAACAAAAGAAAACTGCTTCTGGAATACAGCTTTAAATGGATAATTTACAGCCTTCGACAGGTGACCTCGAAATACAGGAGAACTGGTTTATAACATGTGGATAATGGAAAAATTTTCCAAAGAGGCCGCTGAAGTCAGAAATCATGAAGAAAAAAATAAACTTTTAATATTAAAAAATACTGCCAAAAAATTTTAAGACAAACCTGTTGGGAAAATATGTCAGACAGCAGATTCATATCCTCATTCTAAAAACAACCAATGATAAAAAAAATATTATACCAATAGAAATAAGACAAGGGATATTAACAAATACATTCAAAACAAGAAATATAAGTGGCCAATAAATAAATGTTGGAGTATTAGAGAAATAACAGTAGTATTTCTCTTTTCACCCATGGTCGGCGCTAGTGGGAAGAGGTCCGTACCTTTACCTTCCACTAGTCGGTCTTGACATTGCTAACACCTTTCCAGAGGGCATTTGGCAAAATGTTTCAAGAGCTTTTTCAAGTGGTATAAGTTCAGACTTAGCAATTTCACTTTTAGGATTTTGTCAAGCAAATAATTTCACCAGTGAGAAAATATGTTTTACAAAGGAGTTGAAGGTACAGCATTTCGTAACTGAGAAATTAGAAACAACTCAATGCTCATCAAGAGGAAATTTAATAAACTGCTGTCCATGAATATACCAAAATACAATACACGCATTAAAAGATAATGGGGCTCTCTATGTATTTATTATCACGGAAGGATATACATGCAATTATTGGGAAGTGCAAAAAGCAGAATTTACAACAGTATATTTAATTATCTTAATTTTATATATGAACATATGGAATAATGTGGGAAAATGTAAAAAAAAAGTTAATAGTTTTAATTCTGTATTTTATACTGCTACTAGAGTAGACATGTATTTCTTTAAAGTTGGAAAATTTGAAAAGTCATATAAAGACAATATCCTTAAAACTTCAAAACCCCTTATAAAGGAAACTACCCCCAAAATTTCTTTTATGAATTGAGTACCAGGAAAACATTTGTCCCTCTTGAAGAACTGGTGTCTGAGTGTGAGGATTATGTAAGCCATCCGCCTCAATCTTTTCTAATATTTGATGATTTGTAATCTATACAGGAGTGAAATTACACTTCCTGTAAATGGAAAACGCTAAAATGGGAAGTGCTTCCATTTCCCCATGCCTGCCAGGAAGCTCAAAGCGTATTAAGTAAAGAAATTAGCTTAGAAACCCAAACAGACCTGAACCAGGAGCCCAGTTCAACAGGGGTGCTCCACAGGCCTCTGGAGGCCTCTGGCACGTGCCCAAGTCGGGGACGACTGATTCTGCGGGACAGTGTACCTGCTTTCCCCTCCTTTCACATGGTTTCAGATTTTTCTGTTTCTACTGTTAAGAGCCTTGTACTCTTAGGAGATGCCTTCACCCTTGGGGAAACTGATAAGATACAGATTACATTAAATTTTTAATGTTTCCCCATTAGTGTTTCATGCAAAATAATGAAGCACTGGCTAAGGAAGGAAAAACCCAAGCGGGGACTGAGTGGTAAAAACTGTCCCAATTGCCTTTTGTTGGGGGCAACCTCCAGCCCTGCTGGTCCTGCCTGAATCAGGTTGGTGGCGGGAGAGGGTCAAATCACCCAGCAGTAGGAATAGCCTGACGACCCAGGACTATTTTCTAATAAATGAGAATTTTCTACAGTAGGCCCATTTGCTCCCCTTAGTCTAGGGTAGACGGGATTGTTTTAATCTCAGGGAATCAAAGAGTTCTGCTTTGTGATCTATAAACTGCTAAAAATATAAAAGGCAAAGAAGAAAATACAAAATAACTACAATTAACCGAGGAGCAGGTAGCTTTCTCTGCAAAATACATTTTCAGGATTGATTTTTTTTAAACATCTGCTTTGAAGACAGAGTTTTCTATCACTATTCTCATTTAAAGCCTGGGAGGCAAGGAGGCATTCTGGCTACAGTCGTGGGTTTCAGGATCAGCCTGAATGGGATCTAAATCCCGCACTGTCCTGGTGACCTGCTTCACGGCTCTGAGCCACACTTCGGAGAGGGAAAGAACATAATATATTTCCATATTCATAGGAATATAGAAATAGTGCTATGATTACAATCACAAACATGGGTATGACAGTGGTCACAACGGTACAGAGAACCTCGTTCCCTGAGATAGCATGGAAGGTGGCTACCCTTGTCCGGTGCACATTCGTCGTTCAGCAAATATCCCAAGAAGAAACAATATGTGAGATGCCTGGGGCTCAGGAGTTGTGGGTCCTCATCCAGCATTCACGCTGGCGAACAAACAGGAGCCGTAGAAAATGTAAAAACACGTTGATTGTGCCAAGGAGGCTATAGACAATAGTGATGTGCTCATCTCTCAGCTCACACACGTACACAGATTATATGGGGATATGTGTATATGTACAGCTGATTCACTTGTTATAAAGCAGAAACTAACACACACAGTATAAAACAATTATACTCCAATA